CCAAGGAATTGGGTTTAGGAGGGTTCACTCTCTACACTAAGAATAGAGCTGTATGTGAAAGACTGTTGTGTCTGTGCCTCCCTCTGCATTCCTCTGTTTGTGTGTGTGTGTGTGTGTGAATGTTTGCACCCATTAACATCAAAATGACAGGATGTTGTTAAAATGAATCACAGATGTTTCTGTTTGCTCTCATTAACAGTAAACACAGAGTCTGATGATATCAGTCTGAATCCTGATTTATATCAGTCTGGGACCAATTGGTGGGACCATTTTTGTAAACTCCGATTAAAGATGGCTGCTGTGAGTAAGTCCAGATCACCAGCATCTCCACTGGTCCGTGCACATTCTCTGATTCTTGTAATTCTCTTCTCATTTTTGTATGTTTCAGTATCAGTAAAAATGTTACTGTTCTAAATCACTTCTACACATGTGCTCCGTGGATGTACACACACACACACACACACACACACACACACTCCATCTTCCTGCAGCTCTTCTCTTCCTGTGTGTGTTTTCTTTTTCTGTGTTACAAAGATTTTAAAGTGAACATGTGGAAAACATTAACTCTACACATCATTACCGCTCATTACCGCCCCCTACAGTTCAACTACTGTCACGTCCCATCCTGGACCAGGCCTGAGACGGGTTTTTTTCCGAATGAACTGAACTCTCTCCTAAAAGTTTGTTTTTTGTTTTTTGGGTTTTTTTGCACTCACTAACTCACTTACTAACTAGATCACTCACGCAGGTGCGTCCACACACACACACACACACACACACATATCTGCGAGAGGGCTTGTTGTTATTGTTGTTATTGTTGTTATCGTCCTCAGTGCTCCAGTTCATAAAACTCTTTTTCAGGGGACTTTTTTTGTCACTTGAATCTTCACTTTAAAAAGAAACCAATGCATCTTTTATTCTCTTGTTGTCGACTCTCATCACTTCATGAGAACAACACAAAACCTTTCAGAAATTAGAATATATCTTTTAAATTTATTCATATTAGAGTGAGAGTTTGTCAAGAGTATAACATTTTCTATTACTATTGCGGAAACTATCAAGTTTGTAGAACACTAGCAAGTGTCCAAGATAACCAGCAGGGGTCAGACTGTGGTCATCAGACTAAGCACACGTCAAGGTGTGTAAAGTCAAATTAAAAAAGACAAAAGAATTGTGTTTTCCACCAAAGGACTGATATAAAAACACAGAATAATTCAAATAAAGGTTAGTGAGGTCAAATTGACCAAGAATTCTTCTTATCAACATTAGGTTGTTGTGTTCATTGAGTGATGCAGTTCAGAAAAGCGTTTATACAAGTGCGGACTAGAAAATAGAAGAATATATTATAATGTACTTTGATATAGCATACATTAAAATGGTCAAATAAGACTAAAGGTGCAAACAATTACAAAGGGTGATTACAATAGAGTTTAAATGAGACAACAATGCTTTACAAATGACATAAACATAAAAAATAAAAATCCATGTTTGTATGGAAACTATAAAATAACCCAATTAGATTGTGTTGAAAATAACGATTCAGTGAGAGGGTTATCTGTTGTCTGTGTTGATTGTGTGTGTGCATGCTTGGTTTATGCATGTAGGTGGTGGGAGGAGCCTCTGTCTCAGACCCTGACACATACAATGTAATGACCCTAATCGTGACTTAAAGATGTTGCCATAGTAACCTACAGTACATAAGAGAGATAGATAGAACCCACGGTGCCATGCTCAGAGCACCTCAGTGGTAACTTGACAGCCGGTGGACTTGAACCTGAAACCTTCCAGACCCAAGTCCACTTCCTTAACCACTAAGCCTCCACTGCTAAGTACTGGTGTTGTTATGACAGAGTATAGAACAGAGCAGTATACAGGTCAAAGTCATTGTATTGAGACGACGTGCATCAGGTTAGCAGGTTACCAGCTCTACTAGAATGTAAATATCTGTGTGAAATTAAACATATTTGGAAATGTTTTTTCTCACTGAAGTGAGCAGGCTGATCTGCTCACTTCTGCCCCTGGAAGATGAACAGGTGTGTTTGTCAGAAGAAAAATTCTTAGCGCTGTTCTCACTTGCACTGATCACTGATCCTCATCTGGACTCCAGGATCAGCCCAGATCAGCTGTTCAGATGAGGGGCTGCTGCTTTACTGCACATGTTTGAACCAGTGGTGAATCAATGGTGTCCTGTTTGTTGACTTGTTATTGCAGTGGTGTTCAGACAGATGGATAGAACACACACTCAGCCATGACTTCAGAGTGAGTTTGTTAGCATGTTGTGGATCCGTTCTTCACTCATTGTCAGTTCAAATACGTTAGCTCAAACCAAAGACTGGGAATTTAGTGGAACAGACAGTGAACACAGACACTGTGGGGGTGTGTGACAGTCGCATCACACTGTTGGACTGGACTGTGTGTGTGTTGGGAGGAGGGGCTGATTTGGAAGAGAGAGAGAGCCATGTAGAGCTGCCTCAATTGTTGGTCACTAATACAGCAGCAGCAGCTACAGCAACAGCTACAACAACAGCAGCAGCAGCAGCTACAGCATCAGCAACATCAGCTACAGCAGCTACAGCAACAGCAGCAGCTACAGCAACATCTGCAGCAGCTACGGCAGCAGCAGCTACGGCAACAACTACAGCAGCAGCAGCAGTTACAGGACTTGGACCGAAGACAGAGACATAGAAATGAAAAGACAAGATGCTGAGTCAGAGACTTGGTGACAAGGATATGAGGAGAACCAGACAGAGACACTGTGAGGCGTTGATGGTCTGAGTTTGTCCTGCACCTGAATCAAGCACCTGGCAGGAAGTGACTCTTTGGTAGACAAAAAGCTGGCATTACCCTCAGCCAAAGCAAAAGCAGGGGATTATGGGATGTTCTCCTAGCGCCGTTCTGTTTCTGCGCTCAGTGGGTGGAGTTGAATGCAGTCACATGTGTCCATGGCAGGAAGTGATGCCACAGGAGGATACCATACCAACCCTACAGAGTTTCATCGTAACTTCCACATCACGTTTGTCTTTCGTTGTCATGGTAACCAGAACTTAACAGATGAGTGTGTATGATGCTCCTCCTCACTAATTTTAGACAAGTTTGTCTTGGTAAAGGCACAGCTGTAAATCTGTGACATTTTTGTAGTTCTTGAGGATCCAGTCATTTGGAGACAGTGTAGAGAAACGACAGCTTCATCTGCGAAGAATTTCAGCTTCAAACTCATGTCCAATGGCAGCAACAGCAGGGAAGGTTGTAGTTCTTTATCCGCCGCAAAATGTTAGCAGTTAGCTACCTTAAGGGTTAGCAAAAGAAGAAGCACCTGTTCTAACATACGTGTGGAATCAGAAGCTGGATGTGTCGCTCTAAACAGTGCTAAAAATGTGAGCAGTTAGTAACAGCAGCAGTACTTAGCAGTGATGCTAACATGTATCTTACTGTATATCCGTACACATGCATGATAACAAATAGGAATCAAACTGGTTATTGTTGACTGTAAGGCTGGAGCACAAACCACTCCGTCACAGTTCATGTTTTTGTTTTTACCATTTACACTTTTTACCCCAGTGTTCGGAGTAGGATTATCAGGAGATTGGAAGATGGAGATGTTTGTTTAAACAGTGGAGAAAAAAGAGCAGGTTTAAATGTGTCTTTTGTCTTTTTTTAGTGTCCACCCTGTGTCTCTGTTTTCAGTCGAGGTTTATGTGATTGATAAAAAAGCCTGAGATGTTTCCATTCACAGCTGGGAGGATGGAGGAGGAGGAGGAAGTTGGACATGAGGAGTCCAGTTTCTGTGGGAAAAATCTTGTTTCCTTTGAAGAGGAAAAGGAAACAAATCTTTATAGACAAGTAGGAATGAGAAAATACATTTCTCCTCCCTGATGTTTTCTATTCTTTTGTTTTGGTTTTGTCCAGACCAGTTTTTTTTTGTTTTTTTTTGTACTGAGCAGTTCTGGCCTTGTTTCGGTCTTGTTCTCCGGTTTCTGTGAAACGGGTGGAAAAATGCCTTGGCAGCAACAGAGTTTTATTCTCACTGTCCTTATGTCCCTCCATAAACCTGGTGCCTGCTCTGTCTGCTCACTGTGTTCAATCTGGATTGGTGCTCATGGAGGAACTCTTTTGTTCTTAAACAGTAACTGTAACGATCGTGTGTGTGTGTGTGTGTGTGTGTGTGTGTGTTTAACAGCAAGAGCTGTTGATATTTTTCATTGAACATGAATAAGTGAATGAATGTTGATTAAAGAGGACACTGTCAAAAACAATTGTGTATCTACACAGAACACATTACAGTTATGATTGCCAATACCATGTTCGTGTGTGTGCGTGTGCATTTAAAATTCCTGAGCCGTGTATGTGTGTTAACTGTGAAAACATATTTAGACTAAAGTGATGAACAGAAAGTGAATCCTGTGGTTTGGAGTCTGGAGTCTGAGTCGGGGGTTTTGTGTCTGTGTGCATGTTTGCGCACAAGCGAAAGAGAGTTAAGATTAGGATTAAGGTAGTAGTTAGGATTAGGTTTTTATTTGACACGGTTAATGGTCAGGGTTAGATTATTGTTAACACAGAAATAGTGTAAAATACGTGTGTATTAGGAGCACAGAGTGGAAGGGCATACTTCCTTTTTGACACACACCACGTGTCTATTTGTGTGTGTTTAGGAGGGTGAGTGTGGGGTGTGGGGGGGGGTTATACAGCCACTTCCTCTCTGACACTTAACTAATTTCTGCCTCACGCACGTGTCTGTCTGTCAGTGTGCGTGTGGTGTGTTTCCTTTAGTTCTCGTTTGTCAAACGAACAAGGGTTCAGTCTAATGATGGAAGCTTGTGTCTAAAGTTCTGTCCACAACCATGAGTTTCAGGAGTAAGATCACCTTCAGAAGGAAAGTTAAAGGGAAAAGAGTTCGCTCAGATTTCACCCGCTTGAGTATCGTATGTATTTCTGACAATTTACAGATTGATTCTCTCAACTTCTCTCTGTCCTTTTTTCACTGTCCCTGTTTGACTGGCCAGGCTGAACATCTCAGGACGTTGAAGACATTTTTAATCTTGTACATTGTGGTTATCTTTAACAGTCAAATAACAACATCATTTTAACTGATTTTACTGTAAGTTTGTTTCACTTTTATCTGTCAGACAC